ACATTTCCTTTCTTTTTTTTCCTCTCTCTCTTTTTATATAATTAAAGAAAACATAATTCTGATACTCAATCAAAATTCGTACAGATTTATATAAATAGTCTCGAGATTTTTCATTTATTTTAATAGTGAAATGTAATTCTTCTGTCAACAAAAATTTAATTATTTTTGTTGGAATGGCATTTATTGATAGCCTAGTTTTTTTTTTCTTCCTCATCTTTGAGGATGTATCAATATATACAGTACATATATCTATCTATATATATAAACCTACCTTACTAACTTCCTATTATGAATTTAAAAGCACTTTTTACATATTTCTTAACTTAAAATTGAGGTGCACCTTAAATTCGAGAAGATTTTTTTAAAAAATAATCATTAATTCTTAACAATTACATAATTTTTAAGTGTAATAAGTTAATTATTGTCAAAAAAAGGGAGGAAAAAAAAATCAATGAATATGATTTTTAGATACAGGATAGAAAAGCATCACTTGATACTCAATTATCTTCTTATACAAAAGGTAGTAGATAGTTTGTATTATGATTTAAAAAAAACATGTTATAATCTTTTAAAATATTAAAATTATTCATGATTTAATTATCATTTACGGTTAGAAAAGATGATGGATGATGTTATAACAAAGACNTAAGGACTCATACGATGCCTTCATTCACCTAACTGACATGTACTTCAGAAGAACCACAGTCCCTTTCTACTGATGGACGTCTCTTCTTTATTTTGTAATCCAATCCTAAATTTGTACATACGCATTTTCTTGTTCAGGTGCAGGTAGCACCATTGCATGCCTCGAACTGTGGTATGCCTCTTGTATATTCCAATTGTTTATTTTATTGTATTCCTCATTACATTGTATTTTCAACCTTATTTCTGATCCCACCCGGTTATGTTTCACGGCACCGGGATGTACTATGTATATTTTTATTTTAATAAAGAACTGAACTGTCCAAAGATGGTTTGAAGAACATGACACAGACTTTACCTTGCTTAGTTGGCCTCCATAATTACTGGATCTCAATCCAATTGAGCATTTGTGGGATGAGGTCAAAAGGGACATCAGGCAGCTGGATCCAAAACCATCCATTCTTAGTGAACTGGAGAATGCAATTTATTGGATATGGTGCCAGATTCTTCCAGTCACTTACCAACATGTTGTAACAATCATTTTAATCACAGTAATTACATACCATGGACTTAAAATATTAGTAGAGTCCATGTCAAAGAGACTTACAGCAGTATTACAAGCAGAAGTGACCAACAATGTACTGAGTAGATTTCATGATAAATTGGCTACTCGTGTGTGTGTACACAATGAGAAAGACATAATCATTAAATTTAAGTTAAATTTTAAATATAAATATTTTATTATTTATATTTAAAATTTAACTTAAATTTAATGATTATGTCTTTCTCATTGTTACTATGTCTCATTGTTACATTGTTATGTCTAGTCATCATGTTATTACTATTTCTTTATAATAATTATTTGTTTACAAATTAACATATAAACTAAATTACTAACATAGAGGAACAATAGTATTTATTGTTGTCATAATGATAATAAAATATCAAGTTCCCAAAAAATACAATAAATTTTAATATAGTATAATAATTGGGGCTAATGATTACAACTTAAAAATTTTTATGAAAGATTAGAATCTGCATGTACTGTATTTACAACATACATATTAATGGTTGCTTTTTCTTAATTATGCTGAATTAAATTCATGCATAGCTCAATGTTTATTCAGGCAACATTCAACTTTGTATATATTCATGGTCCCATAAGGTTGTAGTAGAGAATAAGGCTATAATATTGGAAAATGGAAAATTTTGATCAGTTTGAAAATCTTGGGGAACATAGGCTTAATCTGGCATAAAATGTAATTGGTATAGAGTGAAAAGCTTGTTATGGATTTGGTAACACTGATCTCATTTCTATTTAGTACAAAACAATTACACTGCCAGATGTAAAGTTTATAGTATAGCCAGTGTTTTCAGCCAATATAAAATCTGTACATTATGAAAACAACAAAATAAGTTATTTGCAAATAATGGAAAGTTCTATAGATAAATATATCCACACAATTACATTACAATGGTACACCAACAGAAAAACAACTCATGGACTAGTGGTCTGCACTTTGATGTAATCTAAAAACAGACAAAAATGAAGCAAGCTAGATTGAAGAAGAAAACATGCACAAGACACCAATCATTCCTTGCATCAAAGTAAACACAATGACATCAAACATTCAAAGAACATACAATTGGAAAACACTTGGTGCATACAACATCTAAAATTTTAAATTTTTTAGAAAATCTTTCAAAAGTTGTAAATTTCTCCAGTTGTAAAATAAATATTATTATATAAAAAGTTTAAAAATTATGATATGGGAACAATTGCATAATAAACATTTTAATTAGTATTGTATGATATGTTCAATATTTTGGCTATTTAATCAATACAGATATACCCAAAATCTTTATTCAAAATAAAATAAGTATTTAGAATGTACAAGTTTTGAACAGTAAATATAAAAAGCAAATATTTGGATATAAATTTAAAAAGTGGCAATTGCTTTTAATTATAGAAATTGGTAACCCCTGGACTTTTACTTTTGTTTAATATTAATAATAATAATTATTATTAAACAAAATTATTATAATTATTCAAGAAACATTCCCTAAATATAAAAATTTATAATCCAGACAGAGCCTTCAAATATTCAAACTGTATATAATAAAACAAGTAAAGAAAACTACTCTATCCAAGAAAAACCCTCATTACCAAAACACATTCAATCAGAATCAACATTTTCAGATATACATACATTTGTTTATTCTGATTCAATCACTGTAGTTACATACCATCTTAAAATACCATCAAAAGTGGACACAGTCAAAGTAATTACAAATTATAAGCTTTACCTAGGAAAGAAAACTAGAATCACAAACAAATGTCATTGGACAATAATTAGGCAAGATAACACCATAGCCACACACTAAAACATCATCATCAAACTAAATGAAACAGGTTAAAAGAATATTCAGGAAAATCAAAATGCACTCATTACACGAATATTATTTACATGTACACTCTCAAACAAAAACTTAGCCATATCACAAAAACCAAAACAATATAAAATCTGTACATTATGAAAACAACAAAATAAGTTATTTGCAAATAATGAAAAGTTCTATAGATAAATATATCCACACAATTACATTACAATGGTACACCAACAGAAAAACAACTCATGGACTAGTGGTCTGCACTTTGATCTAATCTAAAAACAGACAAAAATGAAGCAAGCTAGATTGAAGAAGAAAACATGCACAAGACACCAATCATTCCTTGCATCAAAGTAAACACAATGACATCAAACATTCAAAGAACATACAATTGGAAAACACTTGGTGCATACAACATCTGCAATTTCTGGTATAAAAAGTTTATATTTCTGCACCAGGATCTAGCTAAACATTTTCTATACACAATCCACAAGACCTGCAAAAAATTTTTACATAAGACATCACACACACATCATCATCATAGACCAATCACACTAAAAAATATTTACTTCATACATCTGTCTTCTTTCAGAATTCTAAGTGAAAAATTTTTTAAGTATTTTGAATCTGAATTATTTAGCTTTACTTCTATGTAAAGTTGCAATTTTTAACTATTTTATTGCAAAGGAAACTATGTCTTATTTATTTCTGTATTTATAATTTTCAAAATCACAGAAAAATTTATAGTTACTCTATAGTAGTACTTTGGTAATAAAATTAAAACCTTGAATTATGTAGTAAAATTATACTCTGATCATTTCTGAATTATATATAATCCCGTTTATTATTATGGATATGAAAGATAAAACGATTATAACTTTACGATATTATTTTAGATATTATGTAACATTATTTTACTGAGAATAATCATGATAAGTTTATAATTGAAATTTATATTCGATAAAATGGGTTTTTGCATATAAAGATTAAAACTTTCGATAATAACGAGTAATGAATTGAAAAAAAAAGCAGGTATAATTTTTATAAATTTTTTTTTTCTTTTTAGATACGTATTCAAAGTTTATATCTGTAAATCTTCAGAGTTTAGATAATAATCCGGATACTCCCTATAACAACTAATCTATATAACTTTATTTAAAGCATTAATACCTTATCTAATTCATTAACTTTCATACTGAAGATACTTAATTAAGATATTATCATGAATTTTCTCGACCAATATTGACCATTATCTATATTATTATCTTCTGAATGAAGGAGAGAAAAAAAAAATACTTTTAATAATATATAATTTTTCCCCCCTAAGGAACATATATATTTTATAAAATTATTAAACCATTGAAAAACAAAATATCAATTTATAGGCAAATAATAGATAACATTAACTTGTATAGAGAATAACTATAAGAAATGAAAATGTAATTTGTCAAACACAAAGCTGGAGATTTAGATTTGGGACAACTTCTGCAGTTAAGCATAAAATATAGCTTCGTTACAGATGAAAAATAGTAATCTAATACGCTGAGTTGAACAAATACTCTAATTGCTATGCTAATGAAGAATTGTTCTCTAATCAATGTTACGTAATGATTTCGAGTGGAGTGAAACTAACGATTTATCATACACTGTGATTCACAAGATTTACAGGCGTGCTACAGAAAGTATTGGTGCCTTAATTAAACTAGAGAGTGTATTACACACACTTTTTATACTTGTTGCGTACAAATACTAAAAAGTATTATTAAAATTAGTTTGTCTTTTTATTATATACAAAATANTTATAGTTACTCTATAGTAGTACTTTGGTAATAAAATTAAAACCTTGAATAGAGTAGTATTTTTTTTTTTTTTTTTAAACTTTTGTTCTAAACAGTACATATCTAAACACAATTAAGAATGTAAAATATCACAAATTTATGATTTTTAAATTTTATCAATTTTTTTAGGTCAGTAATTGAAGAAACTCATTCAAAACTCCTTGCAAAATTGGCCAAACATGCAAGTAATTGCTGTACTCAAGGGTAAGAGAATTACATGATTTTCTTTTTAAATTTATTATATAGCATAAATTATAGGATAATCTTTGTAATTACATATTTTGGAAATTATAGTACTTTTTCAATATTTTAACTAAATTTTTTTTATTGAAGAGTAACAATATAAAATGTAGTTTTTTTAGAAATAAAAGCATAATCAAATTGCAATTTTGACATATTATTACTCATATATGGACATGCAATGACTGATTAGTTATAAGGATCTAAGATTTGTAATAGTAAATAAAAATTTAGTTTGAAGATTGGTAATGTCTTGATAGAATAGATTTAATTTTGTAGCTGAGGAAGTTTCTTTGCAGGAGAAATATGTTGAGGTATAATGAGATATTCTTTTTCGGAAACTAGTTCTTAATTAAGAAAGAAAGCTCCTGTTGTGTCTCCACCTTATTGTGTTGAGGGGCTTAGTGATCTCTGCTGCAGTGCTTCTGCGACTCATCAATGTCAAGATGGGAGACATTGTGCCCAGGGCTGGAAAGTATCCAAGCAGTGTAATAGATGCTGCAAATGATTCTCTTGAAGTACTAGATGACACTCTTCTATACTCAGCCTTGCATCTGCATTTGGGCTCTTAGATTTTGACCATATAGTTCCCCTACTTTAAAACCCATGCATAGTTTTTGAATCTGAAAAAGTGTGCTTAGTAGCAAGCCCACTGTTGCTGATTCATGGAAACTGCAACAAAACGTGATGGTCTCACTAAGGATAAATCATTATATTAATTAAAGTTTATCCAAATCAATCCTCAACACTGCAGGACAGCTTCTGCAGTGTTGAGCCATCATGCAGCATGACATTGATATAGTTCTGATACAGGAACCCGGAATCATCAGAAACAAACTTAGGATCTTGTCTAACTTGGGTGGCACTCTTACCATTTATCTGACAAGGATCCATGTACTTGCATTTTTGTTAGTAATTGGATTCAAGTATTTTTCAACTCAGATCTCTGGACAAGAGACTTGATTGGTGTTAAAAAGGAGAATTTAGTCTCTGTCTATCTTCCTTATAATTCTGCTGAGCTTTTTCCTCCTGGGGAGGTCAGATCTATGGTAAAGTTTTCTACCACTCTTCATCTTCCTCAAGTCCTTGAAGACAGTAGTGTTTAGGAATGTAAAGATTACAATATTAGAGGTAATCATATCCTGAACTTTTGGTAGGCACAGACCTGGAAATGTTAAATCAATGTGACAAACTCACTTAAGTCCCTTTTAGACCTATAACAATTTTGGAACTCACTCTAGCTTCCTCTGTTTTAGACAGCAGAATGGCGAATTGGTGTGTGTATGAACCTTCTCTATCTGATCAGACACCCTTAACTTGGCTTCTATTCTAAAAAGGGCAGCTTTTTGTAACCAAAGAGGACTGATTGGGTAATTTTTAAAGAGTGCCAGATTGGATTGCTTTTTCTTCTGGATTTAATATTCTGTTGGACATTTGAGTTTACTGTTGATTTTGTGCAACAACACATTCTTGAGTCCTATACCATTAGTTGTCCTATCAAGAGGGGAGTCCTACCTACCTATCATTTAGTTTCTTGGTGGAATAATGAGTTAAGCTCTCTGAGGTCTTCAATTCTGAAGTTATTTATACTGTTATTCTGAAATTAAACGTACTGGTAAGTGGAAGATTTATCATGAAATTCTCACCCAGTATAAAAAACAGCTCTTAGAAGGGCAAAAAGATCTTCTTAGAGGAATTTTTGCTTGACCATTTCTAGCAGTTTCAGACTAATGAATATTTTAGCTAAGAAATCCTGCTCTGAACTGGGTTCTTTGGTTCTTTCCAGTAGTAAATCTTCAGTCTTTGCTTGGGAAACTATTTTCTGTTTACTTAAGGCTCATTTTCCAGGCTCCATAATTGATGGTTCAAGTGAGTTTTTGGAATTTTTTAAACCTTGTCTAGATCCAACAGGGAATTCTGGAGATAGGCTAGATCATTTGTTTCCACTGCTAAGATCAAATGGGCTGTTAAATTATTTGATCTATTTAAGTCAGATGGACCTGATAGTATCATTTTGGCCCATATTCAACATTGAGCTATATTTTGGCTTCCATTCTCTGTCATATTTACCATGCTTGTATAGCAGTAGGCAGTAGTTTTTATTTCTAAGCCTGGCAAGAAATTGTATTTTGAAGTCAAAGCTTTTAGACCTATTAGCCTAATGTCTTATGTTAAACATGTTGGAGAAGCTCATTGGATAGGCATCTGAGAAACACTTGTTAGTAGGTTTCCTCTCCATTTCCTTAGTTTGCCTGTCAACCTGACGAGTCATGTAAGGCTGCTTTGCACAGTTTGGTTTTCCAAATTGAGAAGGACTTGGTTGTCAAGGAGATTGCATTAGCTGCATTTCTTGACATTGAGAGTGTTTTTGATAAGACCTCTTTTGAATCTAATGTGCTACACTTGAGTGTGGCATCAATCATGTTCTTTTTACTGAATTGACTTTATGCTACATCATTATAGTGTGGCGATTTCCCTTTTTGGTACTTCCCTGGGGCATTCATTGTGAGAGACTGCCCTCAAGGTAGTAAATATTCTTTCACTGTTGTTGTGGTGTCTTGTTGTGAATGATCTGAGGGACATTAATGGTTCTGGTTGTATGCCCACGTTTTTGCAGATGATATCATTCTGCTTTACATGAGGAAATTTCCCAGTACTTTGTTAGATCTTCAAAGAGATCTGACTAGTACGCAGAGCTGGTGCTGGCATATTAGCTTGAGCATCAATCCTGACAAAATTGTTACTGTTCTCTTTACTTTCAGGAGAGCTCTAAGAGATTTCTCTGATCTCCTCTGTGCAGCTTTCTTGTTCTATCAAGTACCTTGATAGAACAAGAAAGCTGCACCTTTATTACTTGACCAAACAAGGTATAAAATCTAACTTGTTATGAATCTTATACCTTGAGATGATGCTAGATAAGTCAGGTATATCTTTTGATTATATAGAGGTACTCTTGGCAAAACCTAAGGTCTACAACCATGTGTCCTCTGTCAGATTTTTACTACAGTGATTTGACCAAAAAAGCCTATGCCATCATAGTTTGGTGGCATAGCTGCTTTGCAAAGATTGTCAGACAAAGTTGCAAAGTTTACAGCATACTGAATGTCTGCCAAAAGTCTTCTTGTGAAAGATTTCTTGTCTTTTGACAGTGTTATGACTGGTTTTGGTCACTTTCATAAATACCTGTGCCAACTGAAACTTTGCTTCTCAGCTTTTTGCTGCTTTTGTGGATCTTCTCTATATCTCATTTGTATATCTTTGCTCAGGCAGACTTATTTTTCTGGGTTCTTCTTTTTTGAGTCCTGGTGATTGCCTTCAGCTTTCCTTCAGAACTCTACTATCTCTTTTTGTTTAGACTTCTAAGTTCTAAAGTAATCTTTTGACGGATGGATTTTTTTAATTGAAGTACAGTACATTAGGTTTGCTGCCCTCACCTCTACAATAAAGAATAAGAAAGAAGTTTAAATTTAAGATCAGAAGATATACATATGATATGTTTATAATATGAAAAGGAGGAGATAACAGGAAAGAAATAATAAATTTGATTAATAATAAAGTGTGTTGCTACAGGCAGTTCAGATCATTAAAACACAATTTTTCTGAACTTCAAGTTATAATACTAAAAACAAAATAAATTAAAAGTGTATAGAAAAAATTCCAAGTTTACAGTTTACATATATTGTAAGTTGGATGAAGCAATTAAGATTTAAACTAGTTATAGTTAAAATATTAACAAATGGAGCATACATCAATTTAATTAATGAGAAATTTTGAAAGTTGAATAATATAAGAGACTGATAAGACTATTGGAGAAAGATTTTTTCCATTTGCAGGTTGCAGGTTTAGTTTAAATGTTGTATTCTTAGACTCAGGTTTTGTCACCAATAATAATGAATTTCAGAACATGCTGAAGACAACAACAGCATGTTCATGCAGATTCTGAGCAATTTCCAAGTCTTGATGTTTTTGTTTTTGACTTAAGATTTGAGGAAAGAATTTTGCAGCAACTCTTTCCCAGTCATCAAGAAAGAGTCAACTTTTGCCAGTCAACACTATTGGGCAAATTACAGAGACAATAGGCAATTGAGCCCTATTCATTAACAGACCAAAAAAATTTGTTTGTTTGAATGTCAGAATATTGTTTTTGAAACCAATGCCAAGTTAAAAACACTAAGGTTTGGAATTACCAATGCCACTTTTTAATGAAATGTCATTTTGTAGAGATTGCCTCCCTGATGAATATACTGAAGGTCTTTTTCAGCAAAAGTTTTTGTTTCCATAAAAAAACAAGCTGAAAAAAGTTTTACGTTATTTAAATGTCATGATTAATGTAAACACTAATAAGAACAAGCAATGACTGAGTTGTCTAATTCATTGATTCTACATTTCGATGTGCAGAAGGTGCAATTTTGAGACTTGTTATGACTTTTTTCTATTTTCTTTTCCTGTATATTTTTTGCATTGCTCCACTTAAATACATTTACAGATTGTGTAAATCAGGGCTTCTTAAACTATGGGTTGTGACCCCATTTGGGGTTGCAAGATTTTAATGCAAAATATTGAAAATAATTTGTGAGAGTTTGAAAATGGCATGCGTTGTGTCATAGGTTTTGTGAGTTGCACTTTGTGTCACTTCTGGTGCAGCAAGACAACGATTCAGCAACACTGATTGTAGTGTGAACTAGTGTAGTGTTGTCGCTTTTCAGTGTATTCAGTTGTCTCTGTTCCATTGTAACACAAGAGTGAACTGTGGTAGTACACCATTATTGTTTTTGCGAATTTGTATATATCTTTATTTTATATTTTTTTGGCTCATGAAAAAAAATCACAATCATAAATGGGGTCATGAATAAAAAAAGTTTAAGAAGTCCTGGTGTAAATGATCAATATTAACTCACCTAGTAAGTTTGAACCTGCACAGATGTGAGATGTAAAAATGTTTTTTTCTCAAGAATTATATTTTGGAAAAATGACTAGATCAGTATGCCTACCACTTTTGTAGTATAATACATGAGAATTTCAATCAAATTATGATGATTAATGTTATGTGTTTTCCAAATGATTGAGTAGATAATACATGCAGATAAAATATCTGTAGCCTTGTTATGAGATGTTTTTTAAATTGAAGTATTTTATTTTTTAGAACATTTGCCCCATTTTGGCAACTTCTTAAGGCTTCTTCTGAAAAATTATCAACATTGCATGCACAAATGGTTCAAAGGTTCCAAGATCTTGTAAAAGAAGTCAATAAATATTGTGAAGAACAACATAAAAGGCATAAACAGGTGAACATAACATTAAAAAATAAAAGCATATAATTTGATTCTTATATTCTGTTATCTGAAAATGTATTCAATGTAATATAGGTAAAGGAGGAGGAATCTTCTACTTTAGAAGTAGTGCAATATATACAACAAACAACACTCTCTCTTCATAAGGTAAGTCATTAGAAAGAATATATGGTAAGCAACAAATAATTATATTTCCCTTTATATAAATTTATAGAACAGGTTTATTTTAATACAAAAGTACACTTCAAGTATTATTTTAAAAAACTTGAGTAATTTCTAGTTTTTACTTTTAATTTTTTTAATAAGTTTAATTATATAAATGATAAGTTTTTTTTATAATAGTATAATTGATAGTGATGTAACGAATATTCGGTTACTATTCAGTATTCGGCATATTTTTCACTATTCGGCTGAATACCAAATACTATGAACAGGAGTAATAAATAACAAAAACACAGTAAATTAATCATTTTGGTATTTAGATCTAATGTTATCGAGTTAGTGTTGTTTGTTTATATTTATTTATAACTTGTAACATGCACAAAATAAAAAAGAAAATAATATTATTCACATGTATTCACAATTTATAATTACAAAGATCAGCACACTTCCCCGTTTTTTGTTGGAGAATCGTTGCACATCTGAGGGTCTGACCCTGCTTATCCTTCTTTTTAAGTGCTCGTCTTTGCTCTTCCCTTTCTCTTTCTTCTATCACTCTAATCCATGTATGCCTGTGCATACATCATAATACGCGCTCACGATACTTTCGATTCGTCACTTTTCCGTCGTAGAGTTCCCATTTTACAATTACGTGACTCAGCCTGGTGATAACGGAGAAAAGAGACAGATATGACATCGATGAAGTCACAGTTATGATTTCACAGATTTGAGACAGCTTGATAGCCCGAACGGCCCCAGGCTTTCGCCTGTGCATGATAAGTGACTTACATTACAAAGCATTTAGCTTTCCAAAGTCTATGACAACAATTGTTCGGCATTGACGGCCGTGAATTTTGTGCCAATAAGCTGCCTCGACTTGTTCGATTATGTTATCGATTCAATTTCATATTTATTTTCACATTTTCACTTCACAGTCCTTCTCTGTTCTTTTTCCGTTATTTACACGTGTAGGTCATTTCATTGTTATCCACATTTGATATCATCATTTATCACATACTACCATGACACTTGTCTGTCTGCTACAACTGCCAAAAATTAACGCGATTGGCGAAGCGTAGTGACAGCAGGCGAATAGAGAACAGGATCCTTGCCATAATGAGGTTTGTGTGCCAATTTTTGTACGTGCGTTAATCAAGCCGAATATTCGGTATTCAGCCTGAGGCCGAATATACTATTCATTACAACACTAATAATTGACTGTCAATAAATCAAACTTCATTAACTGAAATTGCTTGTTAAGTTGAATTTATTTTTTTTTTTATTTTTATAACTTCCATAAAGTTAATGAATTTTTAGCCTCCATAAGTTAAAACAATTTTGAGAGCCTGTTTCAATAACTCAAAATTTAGGGCTCTAGTGAATTTATTTCATGTCTGATGTGTATGCTTTCTATTGTATATTCAAGAGACTACATGAAAACTATATGAAGGCAAACATTTAATTTGTACCCTTAAAGAAACATAAAAAGATGCTTGACATGTTAATGCCTCTTAAAACCACAACACAAATATACAAAAAATTTAAGAACATTTCAAGTTAAAATAAAACTTTATTTTTAAATGTGACTTGACAATTTTATAGATAGCACTCCTTTTTAAAACTTTAAAGAGGATTTGACAAGTTACATGGCATTTGAGACAAGATATTTTGAGATGATTGAGCACATTTAAGACATTGTTTAGCAGGAAGCAATGACACATCAAAACTAACCTAACAGAATTCTTTCATTAATAGTATGAATATATTATTTTGTATATACAGTGGGTGATCAGTTAACGAACATAATCCGTTCCAAGACTTTGTTCGTTATTCGAATTGTTCATTAACCGATTATCGATTTACTATAGCTTTTTATGGGAATTTGATTAATTCGTTCCGGAGACTCCAAAAAGTAAAAAATATATACTTTTTTATTATGTTTATTTATATGTATCAATAATAGTAAAAATACATATATATGTAGTCATGTTTTTTCTGCTTGTGGGAGTTAAAGAATCTGTCCAATGTCGATTGCTTTTTTCTTTTCTTCAGGATTTTTCAGAAGTAATTAATAGTATTGTAATTGTAGAGATCTCCAACCCCATTAGCTTTATTCTGGTTTGGATGCCACTTGGATGATCATTGTTCTGACATTCTCCTACTTCTTCAAAAAATCTTTAGTAGTAGATGTTGACATTGGTCCTCTTTCGTCTTCCTCTTTTTCAAACGAAAACACATCTCGCTGAGTTTCTTGGTACATCGTTAACTGAACATGTGTTCGTTGTCCAATCATAAAAATCTTTCTGGAAAGGGTTTGTTATCCGATTTGTTCGCTATCTGAACTGTTTGTTAACCGATTACCCACTGTATATATATATATATAAAAGAAATAATAAAAATATAATGTATTGTTTTTATTATTTGTTATACAAGCATCTAACTTATCAAAATGTCACAATGCAAATAATATCATTAAAATAATTGTAATTTCTGTAATTTAAGTGAAATTAACTTTAAAATTATTTTTTCTATCCCTTTCAAGAATCAACTGCATTTGTAAAATAAATTTACTAATTTACAAAAAGCAATAAAAAGTATTATTACATAATTAATGAAATTTATGAACTTATTATTTATTATGTACAGGAAATGATGCATATTTAATATGGAATCTTTACACTGTTTTATTACTAGAGAATCAAGTTTATTTTAATAGTTATGTAGTAATATATATTAAGAGTATTTTTACAAATGAAAAACAATATAAGTGAAATAGTGAAATGATTTGTTTAGATGTGTTTTTAATAAAATTGTTATGAACTTTCTTTGTTAATTTTATATCGTATTTAAATTTCAAATTATTTTAAAGTAATAATATAATTACTTGATCAATACAAAATAAAAATGAGAAAATTGTGTGATAACAAATCTTGAAATTGAAGAATGCGGAAATCTGAATTAATGTAACATGCTTTGCATTATTTACATAGGCAAAAGAAATGTATAATTCAAGATGCTTAGAATTTGAAAAATTAAAGAGAGAGAATGCTTCTTTAAAAGAAGTAGAAAAAGTAAGTTACATGAGTATTTTAAAAAATTAACAAATTTGATAATTATGTTATAAATAACAACTGTCAGAGCACTGTTTTCTAATGGTTAATATGAATTTGAACAATGATAATTCTGAATTTATCATGAATTTAACTGCAGCAGGGAATGGATTTGGAGTGTTGTAGAGCTTCTAGTTATGAATTTGAAATAAAAAAATTTTTTAAATATTAAAAATTTACTTTAATTTGTCAAACTTTAAAATTCCTGGTTATAGCAAAAAAATAGTCTGTATTTATATGCTAAGCTTATCCATGTTTTAGTATGCATTCACATGTTTGATACAGACAAGTGTAAAAAAATAGTGTATTGCATATTTTATACAGAGCTGTAACTAGGGTATGGCCAATGTGGCCCCCGCCATAGGAGCCAATTTAATAAAGGCGCCAACGAGAAGTTTTCGGAATAATATGTATTTGAAATTAATAACACAAAAAAATTTTTATATTTATATTTATATAGTATTTAAATGTCATTAGATAATTTTTTTACAATAGCATTTTTTTTTTTAGAATACAATTATTATTTTTTTTTAATAATAAAAATTAAAAAGGCGCCATTTTTATTCTTGGCCATATACGTCCAATCCTAGTTACGGCTCTGTCAACAAGCACAGATAAGCTTTGGTGGAAGTCGAAACGACACCCGAGAAGCCGATGTCGACAGAAAGGCGACAGTCTGTCGCCAAATCCGTTGTTCTGCCGCGATTGAAATC